ATCTGGAAACACCAGCTACCAATTTTGCGACATCTTCCCCAAATTCTTCTTCTATCCTGTGAAGCCTTTCACAAGTATCATCTACCACATCATGGAGAACTCCAGCCACAACTGTGTCAATGGCCTGCAGCAGACTCCTGGATCTTAATGAGGAAACTAGCAGAAGAACATTATTACAGAGAAACATTTCCTGAGCCCTAAATCAGTGGGCATACAATTATCCAACATGTGTGGTATTAAGGTAATCAATCCATCAGCAATCAAGTTTGATTGACCATCAACTCAGAGTTATAGAACTAGTACAGAAAGTGTAAAGTTGGTAACCCTAACTATTTTGAAAACAACATTTGGTGTTTTAATTTCTGAGTAGAACAGTACATCGAAAGCAATAGACCAGCAGAGTTTCAGAAAAAACGGCTTTTCTTTGGAGAATAACGACTTGAGTATATTGGTTATTAAAAAACCAGGGCACTCGATAATTCTTATACATTATATATAAGGCACTAATGAAGTTAGTACATTAGGAATTTTCCTATAGACATACAAAATGTGACAAAATCATGATGAACTCAGTTAAGAATTTAACATAATATGCCAGTTCGGCAACATATCAAAAATTTCCCCAAGGTAAAAAATGACAAGCACGGTTGGGAAACCCCTTGCTATTGTAGATAGGTAGAATTTTTAGATATAAATAAATAAATAAAATATATCAACCTTTTTAGCCGAACAATAACCAGAGCATCATAGGAGCAATTTAATTATTCAATACGAAGGATGCAAACAGGCCCAAAATATGAATTTAATTATTCATACTCGTTCTCCGCTTGATGGAACCAGCATGGCTAAGATTCTTCCTGTGTGAATGCAATGAGTTAAATAGGGGTCACCAGTTTTGCGGAACTGCCCATGATGTGCTTTCTTTGCAAATGCAATAGCCTTCTTCACCTGCCTTCACAGATTAAGTTTTAGAGCCAGCACATAATTACATGCAAATCAGATGCGAGTAGAGATGATAAACCTTAGCATCATTAAATATAGGATACCCCGTTACATCTACTCCGTCAAGTATAAAAGAACCTGCAGAACGTTAGTTAATGCTATTAACATGAAAGTTAATGATAAAGAATTGATCACAATACTGAATTTTCTGAACAGACAACTTGTAGCACACAGCATAGCAACAGTTGTGAAATCCTAAGAGGTCAAAACATTCATCAGCATCATCTACCAGAAGTGAATAAGGAGCAAAAGAAAGCAGAAAAACAAAATTATTTCCTTCGAAGACCAGAGACTCACCGAGTATTTTTATTTCTCACTTAGAAGAACAGTAAAGCGTACTTTTAAAAAATCATTTCCTTAAACAAACTCAAAGCAAATGCATAAAACTGTTGCAACTAGTGAAGAAGAAAAGAATGGTTGGTGGAAGCAAGAAAGATAGGAGAAAACCGACCTGGCTGTTCATCGAGTTTAGGCCACAGGAAGTCAACCTTGGTGGAAAGGCAGGCTCCGGAGGCAATGGCCATGGCAGTTAAAGCGACGTGAGTGATGGTGGAAGTGACTGCGCCATGAATTGAACCCGAACCCGCAGCGGAGGAGGAGGCGGCGGCGGCAGCTATGACATTAGCGGAGGTGAAGAGAGACGCGAGGGAGGAGGAAACCGCGAATTTAGGCGCAATTTGGTGGAGTATGCAGCGGAATTTGGGGGAATTCCGTAAAGCATGTGGAGGGAATCTGTGGAGGAAGAGGGGACAAGTCCT